ATAAGAGACAGCATAAACTTGTACAATTAGCTTATAATGCAACATTAAAATCTAACTATTTATCTGTGCAAATATTGAAAAATATTTGTAGTTAAATTCAGTTAAATTTGAATAAGTCGACAATTTTCCATATATTTCATCTAATTACGAACGCTTCGGACAGAGTAATCATTTTTCAAAGAGGGAGAATTCTCTCTCTCTCTCTCTCTCTCTCTCTCTCTCTTTCTCGATAATATATACATAATGAACAAATTTATATATCTTTTTTTAGATAGGATTACAAGAGAATGAAACATGAAATAAATTTAATAAGAGGAAATTACACGTGTGGATTGACTCACTAATGAAACATTTGCAAGTATTCAATAAATGAAGTTTCTATGTAAAATCATTTAACATTCTCAGAATTGGCAAACGAATTCGTAAAATTTTATGCAACTAACAAAAATATTTTCATTGAAATTGGTGAGTCAGCTGACATGGCCTCTTCTCGATTAGATTTATTATAAATTGTTTTATGTTTAATTGTAAAATTAATTACAATAACAATACTTTTTACAGTGTGATATTAATTTTTGACGTAATAGAATGACAGCGTACGTATGTGTCGAGGACTACGAGAAGCATGCTCAGGAACGTTTGCCTGCTTCCGTGAGGGACTACTATAAGAGTGGCGCAAGAGAAGAATATAGCGTTAAATGGAATAGGAAAGCTTTCAAGAAGTAAATTAAATCTATCTAATCTAAAAATAAAAACGTAGAATATTGTGCATATTCGATGCGAAATATTTGAAGAAGAAAAAGTAGAAAGTTGTTATAATTTTTGTAGTTACCTATATTGAGTATATGTGATTCCTTCAATATTTTTTGTAGATAGGATATTTTGAAAATAGGATATATAATATGTATTCTTCGTGTCAGGAGAGAATTAAAAATGAGACCCCGAGTTTTTGATCATTTTTAATATTTTTGCAGTTACAGAATACGTCCTAGATTCTTGCGAGACGTGTCGAAAAGAGATATAAGCACGATAGTACTAGGTCACAAAGTCTCAATGCCCTTGGGGGTCGCACCTACCGCGATGCAACGTATGGCACATCCCGATGGAGAGTGCGCTAATGCAAGAGGTAAGTAGATGTGTTTCGTGAAATATTTACTAGATAGCGCAATGAGATATTGACACGTGGAATTGTTAATTGATCAGAACTACAACTTTATTGCATACTGTACTTTTATCATCAGATTGGTATGTTATATTTATTGTAAAATATACATATATATATATATATTTATATAAGGATTTTTTACAAATACAAACGTGTATTAAATCATATAAATATTCTATAAAAATAGTAATAATCAAAGATTAGCCCAGACACACCAACGATCACAGACAGTTAACAATACTTCTCCAACATTCATTTACCATTCCGTAATTGTCAAACATCCGCGTTTAAACATAAACGAATATACTGATGAATGTAAAGAATAATGTGTGCTTCAATCAGAGTGTTTATTACTGAAAAAACTTAGGAAATCTGGAATTTTCAGATTTTTTTATCCTTGAAAATCAGATTTTTATAACATTTTATTGGTACTCAGAGAAATTTTTGGAAATTTATTTTTACATTTAAATTATGTCTCTTTCCAGAAACATTGTTTCTTTGATAATTTTTTCTTGTCAATGCAAAATATCGATATTGATTGATTAGCAATAAGTGTGATATACGCATTCGCGTACATTCATGTATATTCTTGTTTCGTAAGATTTTATTTAATAAATCAAAATAACGATAGAAGACAATATTCAGCAAAAAAGAATAGATCATTGATACTATATTGCAGTAAGTCTTCTCTGTAGTATTTTATAGGCTCCAATTTAGAAAATGAAATTTAATCGTGGTATTTGTCTTCTTCTAATTTACAATATAAATATAATTTGTTTGCATTACTTGCACTTAAATTTATTTCAAAGTTGTATTTAAAAATTGTTTTATCTGTTTTATCTGAATTTTAAATAAAAATATCTGAAAAATTCGAGAATTCTCAGAGAATTTTTTCAGTAAACACCCTTCAGTATTTCTCAATGCTTAAATATATTGATGCATTTGCTCTTATATACAATTGCTAACGAATACTCCATTTTCAGCTTTGAGTATATTGCAGAATAACTTTCAATAAGAAGCAATCATGCTTCTGTAAATATGTAATTGTGGAATACAATAGAGATAAAAAAAAAAAACAATATCGAATGACAAACTCCATCTTTTTCTCTCATAAATTAAATATATATTTCAACCAAAAGTTATATTGATAGATATTAAGACTAAAAAAATGCATACTTATTATTCATTTTACAATTTGTTGTATTATATAATATCTGCGTATTAGTAGAAAAAAATATATTTTATATATTTTAAGTTATTCTGAATTTACTATTCAAGTTATTCTGTAATTTACGCATTAAAAATGAAGAGCTATTTTAGATATCTTCTTTTTCGTCACTAGTTTTTTTAAATAATCTAATCTGATAAAATAGTTTATAATATTTATTTATATGGGTTAATGGAATGAATAGTTATAAAACTATACGTGATAATGGAATGAATAGTTATAAAACTATTATACAAGATGTGTTACATAAATTATTATAAGTTGTTTTCTCGAAAATTATTAGAGCTTATAAAGAGTATTCTTTTAATGTTCATAGAATTTTTTATATGCCGTATGAAAAGATAAAAATCTTAAGAAATTACGAAATTTTATTATCATTTCTAAAGTTACTGAGAGAAAAATAGTTTTTAACACTTCATATTAAATAAATATTATATTCACGATTTCTTAATAAAATGTCTAGAACTTGGCCCGTTAAAAAAAAGTTCGGCTTTAACGAGAAAAAATTTACATTATTATACACATAAATGTAAGAGTAAGTAAGATTTGAAAGGATATTTGATATTTTGAAGAGATATAAGTGTTTATTAATATTAATTTGAGCGAAAGGTGAAACTTAAATGCTAAGATTATTATCGTACCGTACTCCTACGTATGGCTATGTAATGTAAGGCACGATAGAGCGCTTATGCGATATGTATAGACGCATCCGCCGATATGAAGACTGCTTGCTTCCGGTCTGCATATCTAAGGAACAAAAATTTCGCCTTACCTGCAAAATTACTCGGGTCGCGCGTCGATTGAGTCTTGCCCTTCGTTAATTATTAACATAAATGCAGTATGTTCAAATTGAAATTTGCGATGACTAGTAACCAGGAAATAAAGGGATCCTTCTTAGATTTCTATAATTCTATAACGAGTAGGAATTCGGCGCGAGCCTACTGTTCAAGTAACATGGCAGTACGAAGAAAGAGAATTCACTTGAGCTTGGGTCCTATGCTCTCCCAATTATTAATCGCCTTCATGTTAACTTGCTCTATCCGCCATTTCTGAGTGGGTGACGATTTGTCGCATGCAGTCACAAACACCTTTTTACCGCCCGGATCGGTGTCCAGGCATCTGGACGAGTAACCGTGTTGCAGCCACTGCTTTTCGACGTCGTAACGCCACAATTGATTGCCCTGTTTTCCGTGGCAGGGATACAAGCTCACCGGTGCTTTCTCCTCGCCTCTGGACACGTCCAAGCAATCCGTGCGATCCTTCGGTCTGATATCCTTATGCCAGGTCAGCCGGAACTCCTGCTCGCCCGACACTTTCGGATCGTCCTTCATACAAGTGTCCATCACGACAAGCTCGTCCCTCTTCCGCTTCTTCGAGTCCAAACACAGTTCGGTCGCGCCCATGTTCCTAATCTCCCCGTAGGCGAAGTCGTCTGGCTCGATGGGCGGATACACCTCCACGAGATCGAAGGCAATGTTCTCCATGAACCATTTAAATGGTTTGCAGCGCAATCTCGTGCGCAAGGCCTTCTGCTCCGACAAGTCACCCGGATCCAACGTTCGCAGGTGCGGGCGTCTCTTGTAGATGTACTCCGCGTACTCGTCCATCCACACCTCGGCGACCCGCTTGTAGTTCTTTCCCAGGAAGTCGCCGCGGCCGGGATTGGGGAACGGCGGGAATTTACGATAGATATGACCGACTCTCGAGCACGGCGCGTCGTACATCTGACCGCCGCACTGCCAGATCTTGAAAGACAGCTCGTACTGTTCGCCACCCCATATATCCAAGCCCGGATCGTAACCGCCTAATTCCCAGAAAAACTTGGCGCTGATCGCGAACAGACCGCCCGCCATTATGGGACTTTTGAACGGTTCCGCGGGTCTCTTCAAATCCTCGGGAAGTAACGGAAGCCGCTTGTAGTACAACTCCCAGTCGAACGCTCCTCGGGCGCCCTCGTCCTGCGCCCTGTACTCAAAAGTCTCGTAAGCTATCACATCGATGAATGGACAGACGCAGGTTTTGTAGTCCCGCGCGATGGGCTCCAACAACGGCGGCAGCCAATTTATATTAGCCTCGCTGTGCGAGTCCAGGAACACGAGAACCTTCGCTCTCGCCTTCTTCGCGCCCGCCAATCGACCTCTAATCAATCCCGAGCGTTTTGGTAACCGCACGACCGACACCTTCGGCAAGTGCTGGGCAACGTAATCGTCTAGCTTCCTTTTTAACTCGACTTTCGTGCTGGCATCGTCGACCAGTATGATCTCTTCTAAGAGGGAAGGCGGCGAGCGATTAACCACGCTCCAGCAGGTGCGCAGCAGCGTGCTGAAATGCTCGTTGTGGAAGGACACTATCACAGAAACGGGATCCAGGCTCCTCGAGTACTTCTTTTTCCTACAATCTGGATGGCGAATGTCAGGCACTGAACGATTCATTGAGATCTCATCGCTGAGAGCTGCATTAAATCCATTTACTTGATACAATTTTTCTTTTCGCGCGTCGAGGGATGGGGAGAGAAAGGCTGGTCTCCCGTGTTCCCCCATCCCCATACGTTTCTCCTCTTCCTCAATCTTCGTGTAATCATGCCAATCGATTTTGTCATCCAAATCCTGTGAAATATATATGGTATTAGTAAAGTCAAGGCTGAAGGTAGCGCTTGTCTGTATTTATAATAGCTGAGAGACTTATTCATAGAGATGACCGCAAAGACGCGGGTTGAATTTCAAAAAATAATCCTCCGTTCATTTTTTACATTAAGCAGTATTGTTATCACGTTCAGAAAACGAGCGACAATTGTCCGTGGCGATACGTGAAAAATCAGAAGTCGTAAAGTAAAGGACATTTTTGCGAAGAACAAGCTAATTTGCAAATAATAGACTTGGGTACGCAATCACCTTGATACATTCCTGATTCCTAGGAATGCAAGAGAGATGCAACTAAAACTCGTTTGCTAACTACTGTTGTGTGCATATGAGGAAAGTAGGTTTTTAAGTATGTATGCGCATAAGAGGTAATATCTCGTAATATCCGGTATGATATCGAAAATGCTTCGACTGCTGTTGATGCTCTGAACGATTCGCGATTTATATTATAAACGCGATAATCCAAGTAAAGCTTTCTTTTATTATGCCAGCAGGAAATTGAACTTAACGAAGTTACAACGGTTCCAATTCTCCCCCCGTGCTTGACGTCTGGCACGAGGTCTGGTATCTTGTTAAGACTTTTTTTTTCTTCAGGAATCAAACTCGATGAAATGTCGTACCGCTTTCCATTTATAGGTATCTCCGTAAGCAAAATCTTAGCAATACGCTAACAGTTTGTCTCGCTAGATCTGTACAAAATATTAAAACAAATTGGCATCAACTACGTTCTCATATTAAACTCGTCTAGCAGAAACCGAGCAGAAGCTGTCATTTCTCGATCATTTAAATGAAGCACATCTTTTAAATAATTACGAAATGGTTACGCGATTCTTCGTGGTTCCTGTAATTAATCTGTCGTTATATTCTGTTGATAAAATTTTGTTGTTTTTATTGATGTTCTATCAAAATTTATAGTAAACACTTTTGTGTGGCTAATTTGTTTTTAATATATTTGTGACTACCTGGATATCATTTAAATGATTACAAAATGGTAGATTTTGCAATCAATCGACCGTGATATTCTGTCAATGGATTTTGTCATGTATTGTTAGTATTCTATTAACAAAATTTTGTAATAGACACTATAACATTTGTTTTTAACAAATTTGACTGCCTCTAAATATTATTTAAAATATTATAAAATTACGGCAGATTCTGCTACGTTTCTGTAATCAAACTGCTATTATTTTCTGTTAGATTAGATCCTTGTGATGTTTCTATTAAACAAAATTTGTATAAAATAGATTTTATAAAATCTGTTTTTGATAGTTTTGACTGTCATAATAAGAAACATGTATTTTAAATAAAATGATAGATTCTGTTTGACTTTTGTAATCAATCAACTGTCATATTTTATTAATAGACCTTATTGTGTTTCTATTAGCAATCTATCAACAAAAATTTACAGCAGACACTTTACAAAATTCCTTTCTGATTTGGTTATCTGGACATCATTCAAATGTTTACAAAATATTTAAAATGTTTTATAAAATGACAGATTCTGTCAATTAATCAGCTGATATTCTGTTAACAGTATAATACATTTGCTACGTTCCTGCTGGCATTCATAAGATTTGGAACAGATACACTTTGCTAACAATAAGTGTATGTTTCCGATAAACTTCACTACCGAACTTATGAGTTATGTCTAAGGTCCATTTTCACAATGTACGGTAACCTAAAGGTTAAAAATGATCAAGAAGTTTATTATTTAACTACGTTTTCGATTAGAATTTAACCATCAAGTTAACTTGATGCCAACTCAACTGGTGTACACGTAATCTTTAGTTTATTTGATTATAAGCTTATGAAAGTGTGTTTTAATTAACTTTCAAGTTTTAGTTAACCTAACTTTTTCGTTAACCATATATTATAAAAATGGGCCTAAACGACGTGCAAGTAAACATCCGTTTTACTACTCCACGGCGGCGAGGCAGAGTTGCTCGACTTGACGTGATTACTTGACGCTAGTCACTCTTGGCTTCCCGTTCGTACCTGACGCGAACGCTCGTCGTTTCCTCGATTGCTGTCATCCCTCGGGTCGGCGGCGACCGCCGCCGCCGCCAGGGTGTCGAGCGGCGCCGGGATTCGACGGCTGGGCGGCGATCGCGCGTAACGGAACACCACGACGGTGAGGAGCACGGTGAACGCCGCCAGGAGGAGGAACTTGATCAGGCTGATCACGTTTCGCCTCATCTTCTTCGCGAGAGGATCATGTCTCGTCGCGGGGCTCGGCCTCGCGCCGGTTTCCTTCCCTCACGACGAGGAGGACTTAACCTCACCTCTTTACCTCGTCGTCGCGCGTAGTACGTGGCACTCGCGGTAGACGCAGGCGGATCTCGCCAGGCGTGGACGGACGGACGCGTCGTCCGTCATCACCGCGCCGCGCGGCAGCGGCCAGGAGATGCAGCCGAGATATAGCCGTCGACTCCCCGGCGCTTCGGCATACGCGATGATAGAGAGCCGACGAAACCCGAACTGAACAACACGCGCGACTGCTGCCCACTGCAGCTGCTCCGCTTGCCGCGTGATGACTGATATATTTGGGAGTGGGTGGGAGATTGCCGTCGCGAGAGAGACAGAGAGAGAGAGAGAGAGAGACTTCGCACTTCGCAAACTTGGGCTAAGGAAACTCGTTTTCTATCGGTATCCGCCCGCGCGATCTCACCTGCCGCTGCAGCCGCCCATCTTTTTGCCAAATGTAGCGGCTTAGCGGTTCTTATAAATCGATTAGCATCGATCGAGATCTCTGTCCTTATGCACAAATGTGTTTTTAAATAAGAAATAAGAATATGTGAATTTTAAGGAAATCATTTATACATGGATTCGAGTATTCTCTCGCTAAAGGTGACTTTGATAGTTTGATGAAACTCCGATTAATTTAACCAATGATTAATTCAACTGGCATTGCAGCAAATTAAATTTCTAATTCTAATATATTTATAACTCGATTATAATTGTCATTTATTCTGTTTGTCTTTCTTTTTATGCTTTAAGCAAGAATTAATAATTTTATAATTGTTATTAAAAATTAATCATTGATTTAGATAATTGGCGATTAATTTATAACTAGGAATTGCTTGCATAAAATTTCTAACTGTATACAATTTGTTGTTCCTAATCATTTTTTTATGTATCAAGCAATAAAAATCAATAATTCTGTTTACGTTAATTAACAATTAAAATACGAATACCATATATATTAATATAATCTTCGATTAAATTAATCAAAGTTCAATCGAAATTATCCTCGAAGGGGCTCAAGGGTGGATCCAAACCGAAAAATCTAATCTGCAATTAAAGTTTATCGCGTTTATTTAAAAATTATTTATAGTATCAAATGTCAAAAAGGTAATCTCGGTTAAATTTTACGATCTTGTCAATTTGATCTATTTTGACATATTTTAGCCTGATTTAGTTTCTGATCATTTGCGATCGTTCTGTATTTTCAGTTATTGAAATAATTATTGTGTCAGTTATACCGTTGTGTGTGCTGTTGCGCTCATTACCCAGCTAACTAATATTAGTATTATATTGTAGTTTGCAAACCTCGATTTCACCTGTACGATTACATCACGCGACTTGTTTCTGCAACACGCGTAACCTGTCATTATCTGTGTTATTCATAACTTGTAGCAGGTCTTTTTGCGAAAGATACTACGGATGTAACAACTGTATATTTCTTTCGCATTGTACATTGTTCTCATCGCGCCATTATTTTACACTGTTATCTTTCGCTAAAAAATAAAAGTTTAAAAATAAAAGTGTAATTGTCGATTAACTTTTATATTTGTCTTTTTTATCAATTTAAAGTCGTACGTATAAAATATATATATACCAAATATAATGTAATTGGCGCGTCTTGACGAAACGTTCAATATAATACCGATACAGTAATACATCATGCATGTGCGCGTGTTATTTTATTAATAGCTGACAGAACTATTAATATTTTATAGCTTAATATATGGAAAAGAAATATATGCAATATATTAGATTAAGGACAATGAATTATACAATTAGAAAATTTATTTTAAGCAATTCTACTGACTGCATGAATTAATCAATTAAGTTAATTGGAGTTTATTGATATGTATTTTATTTTACATATGTGAGTAAAATGAAAATATTCGTTTTGTCCAATTTATAGACATATTATCGTTTAACTTTTTTTACTTGTTTTAATGTGTTTTTGTCGCTGCCTTTTGCCTTTTTGCAGCTGCTCAAGCGGCGGGAACGATCTTTATTCTTTCGACGATGTCCACGAGGTAGTATAGAGGAAGTGGCGGAAGCTGCGCCGAAGGGTATAAAGTGGTTCCAGCTCTATATTTATAATGACAGAAATGTTACCTTAAATTTGATAAGACGTGCCGAACGTGCTGGTTTCAAAGCGCTGGTTCTCCCCATCGACACGCCGTTTTTTAGTGACAGACGCGCCGATTTAAGAAATAAATTCTCGTTGCCTAGCCACTTGAGGTATGAATTCGGAGATATTACATATTATTGAAATTATATAGAAAATATATTGAATGTATAGAACAAATATTATATATAGTATATGAAAATACATGTATTAAATGTATAGATGAACGACGCGAGTTAGTAAATTCATTAAAATTTTGAAGAATACAAATTAAGACAAGAAATGACAGCATTTGTAAGAAAATTTTGTGCTTAGAATTCTAAATATAAAAAAATTAATTAGTCTTGATAAATTTAAAATAAATAATAAAAAAGTCAATACCTACATATAGATTTGTTAATTTAAATGAAATTCATATAATATATGTATATGTATAAACATAAAAACAGTGATACGCATATAAAAACGCTCTTTGTTTTAGATTTGCAAATTTCCAAGGTGATTTATCGCAGCGAATAAATTACGCGAAAACTGGCTCTAGCCTCAATGAATATGTTTCTGCATTGTTCGATGCATCCCTCTCCTGGGATGATGTAAAGTGGCTTAAAAGGTATCTGCGTATCACCGTTTGTGAACTTTCTTCTTATCTTGACATTTTGGAGCATTATTAGATCTTTTATCGTACTGCGTCGAGCAAAGGCAAATATTTAAATCAAATTGTTGTAGAATTACAACGCTCCCGGTAATTCTTAAAGGAGTACTAACGGTAGAGGATGCACGTCTAGCTGTAGAAAATGGGATCGACGGTATCATAGTATCAAATCACGGTGCGCGTCAGATAGATAGTGTTCCAGCAAGGGTTGGTCCATCTCTTGCTTAAAAAGATTCCGATATTAGAAATTATTAGACAATTTAGAAATAATTATATTCATAGATCGAAGTTTTACCTGAAATAAGTAAAGCTGTAGGAGATAAAGTCGAAATTTATATGGACGGTGGAGTGACGCAAGGTATCGATGTATTCAAAGCCTTGGCGTTGGGTGCAAAAATGGTATGAATTTGTCGAACACAC